AAGCCAGCATTCCACACACACACACCAAGATTTATAGAAAGATGGCAGCTCCGACCACGCTTTAAGCCCAAAACCCAGCCTGAGAATGGCAAGTGAGACCTCGCCGAAATGTTGCCAAGACAATCTCAATCTTACACGGAAAAGACCCGAATACAACAAGACCAGCATACCTACTCCAGTGACAGTCATTTGTCAGGAATGGTCTAAAGTCTCCTGCTGGAGCAGAGGGATGGACTAGAAGATCCCCAAGGTGCCTTCCAACTCTGTTATCCTGTTTCCACTTTGTGGCTCACCGTGGGGACGTTCATGGTGCCGTTTGATGTGCTGTTGGAAAACTGTGGAATTCTCAGGTGGAGGCTCTGGAGGACATAGGTGGTTTGCATCTGTGAAGTCAAAAGGAGGCATTGCTCAACAGCGTTTTTTACAAAACCCAGGAAGATCAACCTTTCTTTGTCAATGGCTTAGAAGCAGCTGACCAACTTTGGTCTGACTAGCCAACTCATCCTTAAAAAATAAATGTAATTATTCCATCCTTCGGGGCGATCTGTTTCTTCTGACAAAGCAAGAGAACAGTTCCTAAATTTTATTTATTTACTTAAATGTGTCCAGCTGCCAATCTTAACCTGTTATTTTAACTCAATTTAGAGCCTGCAGAAACACACACACACAAATGCATGCATGACTCTGGTCCACTAAGAAGGAACAAAACAGTAAATGGTAAAAACATGTGAATCAAAGAATAAGTTACAAATATAGATGCTATCAGGCCTGCAAGCCATCTTTTCTTTTGGACTTCGGTCCTGCCACACTTTCTACTATTCATTTTCTATTGTGGGAAAATGGGAGGGAGGATTATACGGAGTTGGGTAATATGTAGCCATAACAACATTCTTTTAGAAATTCGTCATCCTTTGTCTTTATACCTGGCCAGAACTGGATGGGTGGAAACTGCCAGCAGGGCAGTGGGAGATTGGGCCATGTGATGGACTTGTGGGTGTTGGGGGCAAGTTCTTGAACTTTCAACTGGTTGGGGGAAACTGGGAAGCTTTCAGATTTGGGTTTTCCCAGATGTGCCAACATGGTTCTCTTCATAAATTGGAACTTTGAGGAATCCTTTGCCTCGGACTCTGATTTACTTTTGGAACCCTGACAGCTGCTGCTGAAGGTTTCCCATCTCTTCAGCATTGTTTATTTATTGTTTTATTTATTAAGAAAATTTATCTGGCTGGTAGCTTATATAGAAGTAAAACCCCAAATATTAATCTCAACAAACTTGTGAGGAGGTCCTAATCTTGTAACCATATAGCCCCAAGCAAAGAAAGAGAGAGAGAGAGAGAGAGAGAGAGAGAGAGAGAGAGAGAGAGAGAG